GTCATTCTTCTACCTTTTAATAATCATATTAATGCTACAGTACTTTTTATGGTTCCCATATTAGGGTGTTTTCCATTTATATAATTTAGAATAAGTAGTGCTATGTCTAATATTGGTACACCTCTGCAATCAGAATATGTGGCTTTTATTGGTTCTCCTCACTATCCACCAAGTTGTTCTCATAATCTTTCTATGCATAATTTAATTCAATGTTAAGAGTGATGGTTGTAATTGAAATCCCAGCACCATACTTCATGAACCTTGAGAAAACAATCCAAAAATTCATTTGGAACAAGAAGAGACCAAGAATAGCAAAAGCAATTCTAGGTAACAGAGACATGGGAGGGGGTATCACAACCCCCCACTTGAAACTATACTACAAAGCTACTGTGATAAAAACAGCATGGTACTGGCAAAGAAACAGACCTGAGGACCAGTGGAACAGATTAGAAGATGCAGAAACAATGCCAGACACACTCAGCCATCTCATCTTCGATAAAGGAGTCAAACACCCTCACTGGAGGAAAGATAGCCTCTTTAATAAATGGTGCTGGAAAAATTGGGCTCCAACTTGCCAAAGATTAAAACTAGACCTATATCTCTCACCATGCACTAAACTAAAATCAAAATGGATTAAAGATCTAAATATTAAAATAGAAATGCTGAATCACCTGGAACAGAGGTTAGGTAGAACTCTTGAAGACACTGGTATAGGAAAAGATTTTATGAACAAAACCTCAGTTGCCCGTGAACTAGCACAAACAATCAACAAGTGGGATCTCTTCTTATTAAAAAGCTTCTGCACAGCAAGAGAAACTACCAACGGTGTAAAGAGACAACCCACAATGTGGGAAAAAATCTTCACCTGCTCTTCCTCAGACAAAGGTCTACTATCTAGAATCTCTAAAGAACTTAAAAAATCAGACCTCTCAAATTTAAAGACCCAATCCAAAAATGGACATCTGAAATGAACAGACATTTCTCAGACAAAGAAGTAGAAATAGCAAATAAACACATGAAAAAGTGTTCAACATCACTGGTCATTCAAGAGATGCAAATGAAAACAAATGCTGAGATTCCACCTCACTCCAGAAAGAATGGCTGCTATCATGAAATCAACCAATAACAAATGCTGACGGGGCTGTGGGGAAATAGGAACCCTGCTCCACTGCTGGTGGGAGTGTAGACTGGTGCAAGCACTGTGGAAATCAGTATGGAGATACCTCAAAGAACTAGGACTGGAAGTCCCATTTGACCCTGCTATTCCACTGCTGGGTATCTTCCCCAAAGAATTAAAGAATCATACCGCAGTGATATATGTGCACCCATGTTCATAGCAGCACAGTTTGCGATAGCTAAAACTTGGAAACAGCCCAAATGCCCATCAACTGGAGACTAGATAAAGAAAATGTGATTTTTAAAAATAAAATGGAGTACTACTCAGCCATAAAAAATGAGAAATTAGAGACATTTATAGCTAAATGGATGCACATTGAGGCGATACTCTTAAGTGAAATAAACAGGACACACATGTGTAAATACCAAATAGTTTCTCTAGTGTGAGAAAATGAAAGTGTAAATAAGGACTAAAAGGTATAATAGATAATGTGAAATAGGAAGAAAAGGGGCAAAGGGGAAGGAAGTGGGAGGGCTAGGGGAAATTAAAGAAGGGAATGGAATTAATGTGAGAAAATGAAAAAATGGAAACAAAGTCTTTGTAAATAGGGAGGGATAGAGGGGTTGAAGGGAGGGCAGGGGAAGGGGGAAAAATAAGAACCAAGAGAGATTATGTAAAGGTACAAATTTCCAATGATGAATGTCATTATATTGTATACCTAAAATGTACCAATAAAATAAAATTTAAAACAAAAAAAAGAGTGATGGTTGTTAGCCTTGACTTATTTAACTGTAGTGAAAATGCTGCCAGTTTTTCTGCTCAGCATTTTTCTGACTTTTGAATTGAGATAGATATATTTGGTATATTAAGAAACTATCCATTTATGTTTTATGAATAAGAAAGATGTTGAATTTTGCCAAATGCTCAGCCCTGATGGTGATGATCATTGGATTTTTTTTCCTAAGCGCTCAAGTGATAAATTACATTAACATGCATGTATGTGTGTGCATTCATGTAACTCTTCTAGTTAGCTAACTTTCTAGTCTTTTATTTACTATGGAAATGGTAATCTGAGTAGAAATCATGTTATTGTCTGGTAATATATGGAAAACAGGATTATTCTCAACATTCTAATGCTACCTAATGCATTTTCATTATAACAAACAGTAAATAAAACCCAGAAATTCCAGAATTCAGTGTTCTTACAGTTCTAGGTTAAGTCAACAAGGGCCCTTTTCTTTTTAGCACCTCGTGTTATACTGCCAATGAAGTACTGTCTTTTCAATTTACATACTGTAGTCTTTTTACCCATAAAACTGTATTACTATTTTTATTGAATAGAATTCTCAAGTTTAATTATTAATTCAATTCCAATTCTTTTTGTTTTGTTTTGTTGTGGGTTTTTTTTTTTTTGGAGACAGGATCCTACTATGTATTCAAGGCCAGCCTTAAACTTACTGTGTAATCCAGGCTGGCCTCAAACTCCCACCAAGCCTCTTGCATCAGCCTTCCAAGTGCTGGGATTAGAGGCTTTTGCCACCACACCTAGTGCCAATTCTTCAGTCATTTAATCTATAGTCTGCTAATTTACTGTATCTCCATTCAATTAAATTTTACAATACTATTTTTCTCACTAGAATATCATGAAGTTAACAAAAATTTGTTTGAGAGCATAAAAAATGAGGCTCATACGTATAAAATTTTTTAAAGTGTAGATTTTGTTTCTAGCTTTTCGAATGACCCAACATTACAATCTTTGAAAAGTAAAAAACATGTCTATTTGTATATGGTCATTCAAGTACTTAACTAAGTGACAAGCTAATGAATGAATCATTTATTGGGATTCTGTAAAACTAAGACTACAAACTGTGTATGTATTTTATCTGAAACTTTTCTAGTAATTACCTACTCCTATGGATTTGATCCAAGATCCTCTCTGCCTTAAAATCCTTAACCAGACTATCCCACAAAAGATAAGACAGAAGTACAATTCCAGAAACACTAGAAATGTTTAAAGTACACTGAGTATATTTTCAGCTAGTAAGAAAGTAAAGAAAATCTCTACAGGCCAAAAAGCAAACAGGAAGCTAAAAACTAAAGTAATAATCATAAACTGACAAGGTTTTGCCTTTTCCCAGCTGCATGAACAGAGAACAAGGCTTTGGACCCAGCATGCAGGACTAGGAAAACATAGTGATGTACAGGAAATCCGTCTTTGGTGCCTGAGTCTCTCCGTCTCTCAAGCGTTGCTTCACTTTCTTTTTTCTGTAAGACTTTCCAAGACCACATTACTCCACAATTATTTACTCTCTTAGGTTCCTAATTTCTGGTGTTGCCATTGCTTTTACTTGACTGCCCATTATTTTCTATTAAAATATAATTATGTATTAAATATTCCTTAGTTATGTTAAAATTGATAACTCATCTATAAACCAACAAGTTATCAGATGATAAAAGATTAGGGTATGATTGTAACCCCCATTGCCAAGAACAGCCCTCAATGTTACCTGGAAAATTGGTAACTAGCAATGGAGGGAATGAGATGAATGAAGCAGAAGAAATTAAACAGAAGGGCCAAAGTATTACTGCAGAAAAAGAGATATGTGTTCTCCTCCACCAGGCATTATCTTCTGGGTTCCTAACCTCCAAAGCTTTCTGTCATTTTTGGATGGCAGTACCCAACTGTGCTGTTTCCTTTTCCTCAATATCCAACTTATACTCAGGTGCCATTTTACCCCCCTAAATCTCTTTCATATCTATTCTCTCCATATCCATTGCCATCACCCCATTCTATCAGTAAATCTTATTGACTCTGCCTTCAAAACCTATTCAGATGACCACTTCTCACCACTTCCCAGCTCTCTCATCTCCCTTTAGGATTGCTGCAATAGTCTTCTAAATGGCCTCCTAGTGCCAACCTGGAAGCCTCATCCCCCAAGTCTACTCTCAACACTGCAACTAGAGAGATCCTTTTAAAACTCATTCAACACTCATTCAACATGCAAAGACTATTTCCTGAGGTCCATCTGCATGCTAGGCACTGTTGTAGCTGCTCAAGAATACAGATAAGGAAAGAGATAAAAATCACCGTCCTCATGAAGCTTCTGCCTACCAGAAGCAGAGAGATGATAAAACAAAAATGTAATATGTGAGTAAAATATACAGTGAGTCTCTAAGTGCTCTGAGAAAAATACAGAGCAGAGTAAGAGGAAAGAGTATCAGGAAAAAGAGCCCTGTTGCATAGATTGAAATAAGGAGCCAAGCTTCAGCTTCACTGGCAAAGTAACTTTCAGCCAAAGATTTGAAAGAGGTAAGGACATAGCCATGCAGTTACCAAAGAGGTTAACATTTAGTCTCTCATATAATATTACCTTCTGGTATCTTAGACCTAAACTGACCACATGATGAGCTGAAAGATTTTAAACGTGTTTTTGTCTATTACTTGTATTTTAATTCTTAGACTTTCCTAATAAACCACACTGCTTTTATAGAGATGATAAATTAAGTGAAGTATTAGAAACTGCTCATACAAGTGAGCTTTGTCTTTTTCTAAAATTTAATTAGGAGTTTCATCCTGTATTTCACTAGGTTTTGATAGAAAGGCTTATATTTTTGATATGTACATATGACATATCTAATATTCAGGGGGAAAAGAACAAGTGCATCCAACATGGGAGGTCAACTGGATTTAGCTCACTAAGGATATAAACACTTTTCAAATACAAATACAGACTGATTTTTCAGATTAAGCCAGTTATAATACTAATGATAAGCAAAGTCACGAGGTTTATTATCAAAATAAAATTAGCACAAAATTCTGGATATCTAAAAGCTTGTTAATTTCTACCTAATTGGATGAGACTAGCACAATGTTTGGTTTTACCTTCCGGTGGTCTGTTGGATGTTGCCACAACGACGACCCCGTTTTTGAACAGATTTTCAAAAAGCTGTTTCAGAATCATGGCATCAGCAATGTCAGTGACCTATGAACAACAACACATTTTTTTTATTTTAATTTCACTTCTGTTCTAAGAAATTTACTAATGGCTCATCTTTTTTAAAGATGGAAGTGAATTCAAAGAGAAAAATTCTAATTATCATCATGAAGAAAAGAATAGACAATTAAAAACATGAAAGGCTGTATAACAGCCTTTTAAACTTAACTCTCTTTTTTGCAAGACTATTAGTTTTACACAAATTATTAAATGGTTCTATGGTAACTTCTTTTATAGAACTACAGGTGGAAAGCATAAATAATTGTCCAAAACATTAAGGAAGTCCAATTAATTAGAACATGACCAACTCCCTTCTCCTGTTGCTACAGCCCCTCCTCCACATACTCCACAAGGAGAGAGAAAAATAAAATAAAATAAAATACACAGGCTGTTTGCAACTTTTAATACCTTTCTGGCAAGGGTCCCTAGAAAGGTGACTTTAAATGGTCATGGGACTTCAGAAATAAGGACAAGTAGCCAGTGAGACATAATCAGCTGCTGTTGAAAATAGAATGATATGACATAGATACTATTGTGCAATTGTTGCACAAAACAATTCAACAGATGGCCCATCACAAAAATAAGCAATTTCATTGTTCTTTTTAAGTGCCTTCTATTACTGTCCATGAATAATCAAAAGGCACTGCAGTCACTTCCAGCATAGCCAGCCTCTGCTAACCTTCACAAACACAAATATTTCTTGAAAAAAAACACAAAACTATTAGAACAGTTAATACAGTGCTTTGGCAAAAAAAAAAAAAAAAAATCGGACAAAACTAGAAATGTATAATGCAGATAAAACTATTCATTTGTTATATTACAGAGAAATATAACTATTCATCTTTTCTAAAATTATTTATTTTTAAAATTCACAATGAAAAAGCTTTATAATTTTTAATTTTTTAAAATTCTCAAAGAAATATAGCATGGGAAGTTGACTTCAAAAATAAATGTATAATGAAAGCTAATATTAATCATTGGAACTTCCCCTTAAGTATATAACAACATGAGTTTCAGATATCCTCAATGTAAAAGTGTTTTGATATTTCTTTAATCATATTTCAAATAATCTTAATAAAAACTTGCTTTACATATAGTTGCTAAACATATCACACTATTATTTTAAAGCCCTGTAAGGGAACATAGAAACTAATGGAATTCTTACAATTTGTTCAAAATACTGAGCTACTAACTAAATGGTTATAATACAACTAAACCTGGGTCTAAATCACTTTTCTCTTACAGCTGATATCTTATTCAAAGCTTAATGATTTTTTTTTCCCACCTGAACAAAACAAAACCATGAAAGGGGGAGGTGCAATTTTCTTTTTCTGTTTCAAGCTATAACTTGAAAACATATTAACTAAAAACTAGCAAAGATTCCTTAAATTAAAAAGACTTCAAAACTTCAAAAGTGGTGATTTAAATGAAAAGGAAAGTGGTGCTGATATTATTTAATTTGGAGCTTAGGATCATTGTCAAATTTTGCTTCCGCAAAACCAGTCACAGAGAAGGCCCTTTTCAAATGCTTAAACACCAGTGGCATTTCTGATGAGAGGACAGACCAAGCTTGCAAATTTTAGTAGCAACTGAATTTTCAAATTGGATCTCAATATACTCACTTTAAAAAATATATACCAATTAAAGGCTACTCAGTTTTAGAGAATAACAATTGTCATTTGACTACATTGCTAATGTTTTTGAAAAAATTAAAAATAGCTTGTGTGCCCTACGGCTCAAAAAAGTGAAGAAATGTGGATTATTACACAGTACGAGGATTTAAACCGAACAGTGAAGAAAGCAAACAGTAAAGGTTTGTAGTTGAGTTATACTCCAGAATGTTTCTGCCTTATCAGAGTAAATTAACTTGGAGGAGCTATGACTAATTAATAAATCAGGAGTCACTTAGTGTAGCTGGGTGCCAATGTATACTCTTTTGATCTTGTCCCAGCACTTGTTCAGCTTTGCTGGAGAACAGTAATTTTACAGTATAAGTGAACAGAAGACAATTGGCCCCACATTCTTGGAGAGCCAGCTTTTTCAGCACCCAGCATTTCATTACCACCAGGAACAAAAGAGAAGGCTACAGATTACCAATAAGGGTAGTCTGCTAATACAGAGTGGAGACATTTCATTAGCATTAAAGAGAAGAGATTTTTTTTTATGACCTAGAGTTGCTTTCCATTATGACTCACTTAAAAGGGGGGGAGCCTAATGGTTAATTTACATGTGTAAGTGCTTGAGTCTCAGTCATCCACTGATTGGTACAGTGCCTGTAATGAGTGACAAACATAAGCATGCATTATCAGTATTTAATATTAGCACAAAAATAAGCACCTATTTTTATTAGCAGTTTTTAATAGCTTTCCTGCTTTATAAAAAAGGTTAAACTATTTTTTAACTGATATTGATAGTTTACAGAGGAGACTTCTACAAGATATTCTGCTCATTTTTTGTACTATATTAGTAAAACATCTCTTCACTGTCCATAGATATGGAGACATAGTACTTAAAAAAAAATCAGTTTCCCTCAGTATTCTCATATCTTCAGAATCATAAACAGTTTAACAAGTAACATAAATATTCAGAGGATATAATATCCTAAAAGAAAACTTTGAGAATAAGCTATTCTTTTATTTTAGCAACTAAAACATGTTTTAAAAAAATCTATCTAGACATATTTCTCAGCCAAAATAAGAATAGTATATCTCCTACCACAGGTAAAGCTGAAATGCCACACTCAGCAAAGATGACCAAGCTAATAAAGAACACATTCTGCAAATGTGATCTAAATGCTATCAAAACATAATCTTAAAAATTCCTTAAATTTAAAAGCACAAAAAGTTATCAGGTTTCAGACCTCACCCAGGAGAGGGTGATTTGCTGGTGGCCATCTTGCAGAGGGGCCATCTTGGAGAGGGGCCAACTGAGCTCGGAACTCAGAAGAGGTGCAGGTGAACTCCATCTAGTGGCTCAGGTGCTTTGGTTTGGGTGCCAAGTTCAAGTCAGCAGGAGGGCAGGGAGAGGAGTTCAAGCCAGCAGGAAAAACACAGACTGTTGTAGGCTCAAGGAATCTGGTTCCAGCCTCATAGCCAGAAATCGGCCCAAATTTTAGAGGAACTAATGGGGCAGGCTGGCTGGAATTATCCACTATCTCACCAGGAAGCGGCAGCTAGCTTGCTGGTATGAATCAATTTGGCTCTAGAATCTATTTGTCCACATTGTCTAATGACAGCAGAGACAAACCTTGAATTGGACGTTTTTGGGTTTTTCCTCTTTTCTTTTTTCCTCCTTTCTAGTTCTTGTTTTGTTTTGTTTTATTTTGATTGTTTGAACAGTTTCTAGTTTGTTGTTGTTCTGTTCTTTTTATTTTTTCCTTTTCTGTCTCCCACCTGTCTTCCTCACTAGTTTCCTAAAGTTTGTCCTCCAGCCTTGCTTCTGATCTATTCCTCTTCTTCTATTTCTGTTTTTTACTCCCTAACCCCTTTTAAATCTTACCCCCCAAGGGTAAAATTGTCATATTAAGGGCTACAGTTTGTCATTTTCTAGGCTGTATTTGATGCTATTGTTATTGTTGATTGTATTACTTTAGCCAAAGTGACATAATTGTGCTAATCAGTTGTTCCTCCTGGTATACCAAAACTGAGATTGCCTAAGGGTCTTAAAAAAAAAAACAACCCCTATAGGACAGTGCCGAAGAACTGGCAGCTGGGCCAAGTAGGCAGAAACTTCTCATCCCCAATAAATTGAAGAGGTAGGGTCCTGTAACAGACTCAAAACCCAAAAGCTAGCTACACCTGGAAGATGCTTCTGAGAAGTAGTCATTCCCTAAGGGTTCTGAATACTGGCAATAAAGCTACTCCACATAAGGATTTCACAAACATCAACCCAGGAATCAAACTTTAGAAAAATAATAGAAAATGAGAAGACACTTAAACAACATGCAACCCCCTGGCACCCACCAGACTTTCAGCTCACCAAAAGCAAACCCTGGGGTCAATACAGTGAAACAATCTGAAAGCCACCCACCTGGACTCTCTGAAGTGGTAACAGCAAAAATAACAAAGCAGATGAATGAGGCTCTAGAAAAAAATCAAAGCAGAAATAATTTCCCAGATAACTACAGAGATGGTGACTAGAATGAAAGATACAGATTTAAAAAACAGAGGATCTCAGGAACATGATGGAAACCATGAACACCCAACATAGGAAATAAATGGAATCCATGAAACAGATTCAAACAGATATCCAGGAGATTAAAAACTCCACTGAAAGTATACACAGCAGAATGAGGAAATGTGAAGACAGAATATGAGATATAGAAGACAAGATTTCAGTTAGCAATCATGAAAAGAGAGATTTCTTAAAAATAGCAAGGGGCCACGAGAAATAAATCCAGCAGCTGCTAGATGATGCAAAGAATAACATAAGATTGATCGGAGTCAATGAAAAAACAGGACATAGCACAAATGATACAAAGAACTTGTTCTCAGAAGTAATGGCAGAAAACTTCCCAATCAGGAAAAAAGCAGTTGACATAGAGATAAGTGAGGTATATAGAACTCCAATTAGCCATGATCAAAAAAATCTTCCCCAAGGCATGTAAGAGTCAAGATTCCAGAAACTCAACACAAGGACAAAATATTAAAAGCTGTTAGAGAAAAGAAACAAATCACCTACAAAGGAAAGCCCATCAGACTCACAGCAGACTTCTAAACACAAACTCTCAAGTCAAGGAGAGCTTGGAGATACATGTCAAGCCCTAAAGGAAAACAACCTTCAACCCACATTGATGTATCCTGCAAAACTATCCTTCAAAAGTGATGGGGAGGGCTGGGGGTTTAGCTCAGTGGTTCCGCCGCCAGCCTTGCAAGCACAAGGACCCAAGTTCGATCACCAGAACCAAAAAAAAAAAAAATGTCATGGGGAAATAAGATACTTCCATGACAAAGAACACCTAAAGAAATTCATGACCACCAAACCAGCAC